GTATTTTCCAGGAGAAGGCATCAGGTACCACATCTTCAGCAAGCAAGAATGTTTTCTCTATACCTTGGAGCGTGTTACAAATTTTCAGAGTAGTGCCAAGGTCAAAACAGAGCGGATGGACATTTTCTTACAGCATTGTTCTACTTTGTATTTTCTCTTAAATATTTTTTCCCCACCCTGCCTTTTAAGCTTTTTTTCAGCTTTCATCACAACCTAAGCAAGGGACAGCTTATCCTTCTCCTAATTGCATTCTGTAGCTTCCAAAAACATTCATTCATTTACTTATCGATTTATTCAATATCCATGGAGGGTGTGCCTATAAGAGGTAAAATTCTAGACAATGAAGACATAAAATTCATCCATTTACTTGATAAATATTAATTGACTACCTGCAAAGTACCAGGCTTAAGCCATTTGCTGGGACTATGAAGATAACTAAGACACAGTCCTTGTCTGATGTGTAGTAAGAATTCAGCAAATACTTGTTGAATAAGCAAGTGCCTTAAAGGAGCTCCCAGCCTCGTGGGCAAGAAAGGCGAGTATTAGGCAATTACAAGCAGGGTGAAAAGGGCTGTCTGGAGAAAGTCTGCAGGAAGAGGCCTGGAGCAACCATGAACAGCGAGGGACTGCAATTGGAGACAGGGTCAATAAAGCCGGCAATTATGATTTTAAGAACTGGGAGGGAAGTCTGTACATGGGATGGCACAGGGTCCTCAATTTAAACACAGTCGAGTTGAGCGTCTGGAATTCCCCCAGGACCTTGCTGCTGCTGCCCACATCCAGTCGGCAGAGGGACAGGAAGATGGGCTGGACCTGGTGTGGACCCCTCCCACTCATACTCCATTGGCAAGAGCTAGTCATTGGGATTCTCTTAACTGCAAGACAGGCTGGGAGAGGTAGTCTAACTGTGTTCCCAGGCAGAAGAGATTTTCAGTGGCAGCTAGAGTCTTAGAGAAAAGGTTCCAGGAAGTGGTCCCAACCAGAGTTGTTACAGGCATCCTTGATCCCAGCTCACTGCCAGAGAGGTCAGTGGGCAGGCAGAAAACTCAGTGACCAGAGCAACTCTGGGCCATCCAAGGTCCTTCAGGTACTTCAGGCAGTCTTATGGGGTGTAAGATCTTATCTTCCAAAATGAGATTTGACAATGGCATGTTCTGTCTATAGAAAAATGTAGATTTCAAGTAGAAACTTGTCAAGAACTGTGAAGGGCTTGAGATTTTCCTTGCAGGCTAACAAGTTAGCTCATCACAGATTCCTGGATGCTGAGAGACACGGGAGATGCCGAGGTCAGAGATACAGATACAGGACTGTGTAATTCACAGCAATAGCAGTGGCCAGAGGGGCAGCACTTTCTTTCACCAGTTAGTCAAGATCAATTCCCACAACATGACACAAAGGGGAAGGGGGGGCATGTGCATGCGTGATGGCCTATGTTATAAGAGAGGAGCTCTGAGTTTAGGGAAACTGAATCCTCTATACTGGGCCATAAGCATGTCTGCTCCCGTTCTGGAGGGAGACATGATCTCTGTCTTCCAAAGCCCTCAGCAATCTGCTCTTTGCCCTACAGACAGACCATACCTCTACCTTCAAAGGCTGTTCACATTACAAACATCCTTGAAAAGAGAATCTAGAACAAAGGCAGTCACTGTCTGCTTGCAAGGTATGCAGAAATGTGAGAGATACTTGGAGAACTATCTTCCAAGAAAAAGGTTCCTTTTTAGCCAGGAGTGTTCTTCAGACAGCACCTTCCTCCTCTGCCTAAACTCTAGATGTTGGCAGATCTCAGGGCTCAGTTCTCAGAGCTCTTCCTTACCTACACTCCCTTCCTTGGGATCTCATTCAGCCTCTTATCTTTTTTTTTTTTTTTTAATTTTTTTATTGTTATGTTAATCCCCATATATTACATCATTAGTTCCCGATGCAGTGTTCCACGATTCATTGTTTGTTCATAACACCCAGTGCTCCATGCAGAACGTGCCCTCCTCAATACCCATCACCAGGCTAACCCATCCCCCCACCCCCCTACCCTCTAGAACCCTCAGTTTGTTTTTCAGAGTCCATCATCTCTCATGGTTCGTCTCCCCCTCCGACATACTCCCCTTTTCTTCCTCTCCTGTTATCTTCTTCTTTTCCTTTTTTCTTAAAATATGTTGCGTTATTTGTTTCAGAAGTACAGATCTGTGATTCAACAGTCTTGCACAATTCACAGCGCTCACCGTAGCACATACCCTCCCCAATGTCTATCACCCAGCCACCCCATCCCTCCCACCCCCAACCACTCCAGTAACACTCAGTTTGTTTCCTGAGATTAAGAATTCCTCATATCAGTGAGGTCATGTGATACATGTCTTTCTCTGATTGACTTATTTCACTCAGCATAACACCCTCGAGGTCCATCCACGTCGTTGCAAATGGCAAGATCTCATTCCTTTTGATCAGCCTCTTATCTTTAAATCCATGTTGATGATCCCAAATTTACAGTTTGCACTTCAACACTGCCCCCACTTCCAGACTCAGATAGCAAACTGTCTATGTGGCATCTTCCCTTGGTTATCTTCTAGAAGTCTCAAGCATAACATATGTTTGAGTCTCATCCTTCACATGAAAACTGATCTTTCCCCAGGGTAACCCCTCTTAGGAAAAAGTATTAAACATTCAGTTGCTCAGGCCAAAAATTTCTCTTTCTTCCATATCCATACCAATATTCCATAAGCCTATTCTGTTTTCTTTCTTTTTTTTTTTTTTTAAAGATCTTATTTATTTATGTGTCAGAGAGAGATGGCATGGGCGAGCGCACAAGCAGGGGGAGTGGCAGGCAGAGGGAGAAGCAGCTCCCCGCTGAGCAGGGAGCCTGATGCCAGACTCGATCCCAGGACCCTGAGATCATGACCTGAGCCAAAGGCAGATGCTTGATTGACTGAGTTACCCAGGCATCCCAAGCCTATTCTGTTTTCAAATTATAACCTGCATCTGAGCACTGCTATCCTTCTACATCATCACATCCTAGTCTCAACCACCTTGTCTCTGTCCTAAACAACTGCCATAAATTTCTAATCGGCCTCCTACCTTCTAATCTTGCCCCATACATTCTAACCTCCGTGACAGCCAGAGTAATTCTTTTCAAATGTAAATCAAATAATATTACTCTGCTTTCAACCTTCCAATGACATTCCAAACACATTTAGAATAAAACTCAAGGTCAAGACTATGTACACTTTGACCTCTGCCTCTAAATCTGACCTCATATGCTACCCTTCCTCTCCCTTCTTGCTCTCACTGTCTTTGAAAATGCTGAGCATGAGGCTATCTCAGGGCCTTTGCACTTTGTTGCCCAAGAAAGTTAGGGCTCTGTCAGATGTCAGTTGAGCAGAGAACCCTTCCTGACTATCCTAAATAAAATAACACACCTTCACTACCCCTCTTTCATTTTACCCAGCTTTATCATTTTTCTTCACCTTTATTACTGCCTGATTTTAAGCAGCAGCTTAGAATATATGCTTCATGAGTTAAGAACTTGGCTTTGTTCACTGACATATCCTCTGCTTCTAGAACAATACCTGGCACAGAGTAGATGCTCAATAAGTATTTGTTGAATGAATGAATGAATGAATGAATGAAAACAGTTAATACGAGGTACAAATATGGAGACAATATCAGGGGTACAGATATTTTATGCCTCAATCTTTCTTCTTTAAGCTAAATCAACTGATTTCATAACTGTATGTTTCTCCCAAAAGGCATATCTTTCAGCTCTTTAATAATTCTGGTTTCTCTCTACAGGATTCTTGCCATGTTCTTTCATGTTCTTGTGTATGATGGAGTTCAAAATTGAACATAGCCTTCTGAGAAGAACCTGAGCAGTCTATAATTAGTTTTTCCTCTCTCCACAGGATTCGCATGCTTGTCTAGAAATACACCTTTAAAAGATAATCTCCCAGGACATATGCCCAGCCACAAAGAAGCCTGTCCAAGGTCAGAGAGTTTAGAGAGTAACAAAGCGAATATTTGATGCTTACCTGTTTGCAGTTTTTACAAAGCCCCAAACACTCTCCTGAATACATTGGGAAAAATATATAATCAACCTCATGAATTTAGCCATAGATTGTATCTATTTTAAATTGGTCACTCTTCCTTTTAACAACTAAATAACTGCTATGTGCCAAGTGGTAAGCTAGAGGCTGGGACAGACAGAAGAGCCCTTGGTCCTGATCCAGAGGAACGCCAAATCCTAGGCACCACCGTGTCTGTTTCGATTGTTGTTGTTGTGAAATTATCTAATCTAGCCTAATTTCATTTTCATACATTATACTTATTTCCAATATCACTTTTTAATTAAGAATTCTATACTCATGGAAAAAATATATTTTATCCAGTTTGAAAAACAAGGGAGCACAGTGTTTTGCTTTCCCTAGTCTGCCTTCTATTTTAATTGTAAAATGATTTTTATTTTTCAGAGTTCCTTTCAATTTTCTGCAAAGGATTTAACAATGGAATACAAAAATCTCAGGTATCTTCCTTTAGCTCATTTTAAAACCCTCCTTACAGGGCACCTGGGTGGCTCAGTCCTTAAGCGTCTGCCTTTGGCTCTGGTCATGATCCCAGGGTCCTGGGTTCGAGCCACGTATTGGGCTGCCTGCTCAGTGGGAAGCTTGCTTCTCCCTCTCCCCCTGCTTGTGTTCCTTCTCTCGCTGTCTCTCTCTCTGTCAAATAAATAAATAAAATCTTAAAAAAAAAACCTTCCTTACATATAACTTACATGTTTTTGTTTTATTTATCATCTTTACTGTTGCTATTAAATTAAAATTTAGGAACAATTTTAGATTATATTTCCATTGCTCTTTGGACATTTTATTGATCAATATTTCACTAAAGATATTAACTTTCTCTAGGATGCAGAGAGACTAAGAGAACTCACACAAAAATTTCTACTGAATGAATTTCCCCACCTTCTTGGTGATTGTACACCTGCCTTCCTTATAAGGAGAACAAGGAAGTAAATCATGTTGAAGTTGCTTTTAAACACAGCTTTCCTTCTTTACCTGTCCAGGTAGCCTGTTTTCATTTCAGTCTTAATGAAAACTTTTAAATTTACATCTCAAGTTTCTTTCCAAAGCAGTGTAAGTAGTATTTAACATTTTACACCTCCAGGAAGAAAGACTTTAACGATGTTCAGCTTTGGTCTTATAATGTTGAAGGTAATTCATTTTTTAATCTGTCTGCACAGCGAGAACTGAAACGAATGGGGATTGAACTGCTTTGCCTGTTCTTTCTATTTCTAGGAAGGAATGATCACGTACAAGGTAAGACCTAAGCTCTCCGATATATTGCTTTCTTGGTATGCTTTACAAACCTGTCATTTGGTTCAGAAACTAGATCTGAAGTCATTTTTTATTTGATCTGTTCGATCGCTTGTTGGCCATTGAACGAACGCTTTAACAAATTACAGGCAGAGGCAGGGCTGTTCCCACAGCAAATGCTCTCGGCTTCAGGTAAATAAATACAAAGGTTGCATGGGCATCTTAATGAGGAGAATTAAACAGCTTTATTACACAATAGGGCTCCTTAATACCTTAGTGACAACCATCTTGGTAACTTTTCTAGCTATTCTATTGACAAGGTCTTACACTTAAGAGAAATAATCTCGAGAAAGAAGAACTTACTTTAAAAATAAAAAAAAATCATTCATTTAAGAGAGACGCATTTTTTTTGTTTTCTTGAATTAAATTTTTAAGTCTTCATTTTTTAAAAATTTTATTTTGTTATGTTGCAAATATTTTTTAAAAATTAAAGTGGGTGATAGTGAATGAGGATAATAAACATAATGAATGGTCCTAAGTTTGTGAATGTTGAGATAGTTTTATATTTTAAGAAAAAAAAAGGAATGATCACTTTTAGCTAAAAAGACACACATATTCTCCATGTGACAGATGTAAAATGTGAACTTTTTAACAAGTTGCAAACTTTTTAAGAACTGGTCTCTGAAGGCTAACATCAATTTTGATGTTGCTTCATTCAAGTACTTTAAGAACTAGACTTCTTTCTCGTAAATGAAAATGACTGCGAGTGTGCTGAATCCCTGTGTCTTGCTGGGTTTAAACACAGGTGGCTGTGCCATGGGAGGGGCAGAGACCTGTGAAGACTGCTTACTTATTGGACCCCAGTGTGCCTGGTGTTCTCAGGAGGTAAACAGACAACCTCAGCATGTTTGTAAAAAAACTGCAGTTACAGGTTATGTGGCTTCCATCGATGATCATTCTGATAGTGTCCTGCTTTCTGTGGGGAATAGGAGTGAGACAAATCAGGAAAGGAAAATATAAGCATCAGTAGGCCACCTTGTCATTCATGTGATTACTTCCAAAAACAACTTGCAGAGGTAGCGAATGTCAAAATCATTGTGAAAAATATCTAACTCAGGTTCCTTTATTTAACCTGATTCCTCCTCTTATTTTAAAGGCATTTCTCACCGGTTACATGTCAAATGCCGAGGCTCTGAGTAATCAGAGATCACAGAGATGATATTTTCTAAAGTTAAATATACATTTGACTTCAATATCCTAATTGTGTTCCATCTGGGAACGAGGATCCATTGGGAACCACTGTTAGGTTCTAAGAGAAGGCTTCTAGTTTGGGGGGAAATTTTGCTGCTCAGACAGTATCCAATTCTTTTAAAAATTAAGCTTTCATGAGCTTGGTGACTGTACCACACCGATGACAAAGCCGGAAACAGACATTCCTTATCTGATCAAACTGAAAAGTCCGGGAAAGTAATATAAGGGGTGGTGGCACAGGTAACAAGGAATCCCAAGTCACTGTCTTTTGTGACCCTGAAGAACAGTTTGTAAATGATTCCTGGTAAGAAAGAGCCTCCTTAACTCTTTCTGGATTTAAAACAGTTCTCTACTGAATCTCATAAAGACTATCTGAGCACAGATGAAAGCATACAAATGCCAAGGTCAGCAAGAACTGAGTAGCAGGCTCAAAGGGGAACGAGCCTGGGTGCCTGGCTCAGGAGGAGGTGATAACTATTAAGACTCAAATTCCAAGCTGCATGTATACCGTAGAGGAAGGTCTCACAGACACAGAGCACAAACCTAGCTAACTCCCCCACTACTGCCTTGACGGATGGGCCATACATCAAAGTGCGAAGGAATTATGCTTTTTTTGAGCTCATGTATCAAAAGCAGTTTTGAGAATATACCAAGAGGAAAAACCCACATATTTTTTTTTATGTTGACTCCCTGAAGAAGACAGTATTAGTTTCATGCCAGAGACGTAAAACAACAAATCAATCTAACTATATGCCTACCTGTAGAATTTTTATTTAAATGCAAGCCCTCGGGCGCCTGGGTGGCTCAGTTGGTTAAGCGACTGCCTTCGGCTCAGGTCATGATCCTGGAGTCCCGGGATCGAGTCCCGCATCGGGCTCCCCGCTCAGTGGGGAGTCTGCTTCTCCCTCTGACCCTCTTCCCTCTCGTGCTCTCTATCTCTCATTCTCTCTCTCTCAAATAAATAAATAAAATTAAAAAATAAAAAAAAATAAATGCATTTTTTAAGCATTCATTTAAGAGAGCTTCTTAAGTTACTATGAATAGCTTTACTTGTGGATGATACTTGTTAGCCAAATCACTGTCATTTTTTTTTAAAGATTTTGTTTATTTATTTGAGAGAGAGAACACACACACACACACACACACACACACACACACACACTAGTTGGGGGAGGGGCAGAGGGAGAGGGAGAAACAGACTCTCCACTGAATGGGGAGCCCACCACAGGTCTCGATCCCAGGACCCCAGGATCATGACCTGAGCCCAAGACAGACACTTACCCAACTGAGCCACCCAGACACCCCACAAATCACCATCAATTTTTAAGGCCAGATTATTCTAAATGTACTCTAACAGTAGAAGTAGTTGAGGCAACTGAAGCAAAAAGTACGTTAGGCCTCTGTTTAGAGCAGATTGAAAAAAAAGATTCTACAGTTACCACTACCTCTGGTGCGTTGGCCAACACTGTAGTTACAGGTGGTAGCAGCCACACTGTGCTGAGAGGCATCCTGAGGCCTTGTCAAGCCACTGTTTGCTTTGGGTATATCTGGGGAAGTTACAGTGTTCGCTATGCTTAGTCTAGGGCCTCAAATAGGTACAGCTCTGACTGACAGATAATCAGTTATATTGTAAAAAATCAACTTCAAGGGAGCCTGGATGGCATAATCTATCAAATATCTGACTTTTGATTTTGACTCAGGCCATGATCTCATGGTTATGGGATCGAGTCCCATGTTGGACTTCATGCTCAGCGGGGAGTCTGCTTGAGATTCTCTCCCTTCCCCTCTCCTTCTGCCCCTTCCCCTGCTGATGCTCTCTCTCTCTCAAATAAATAAATGACTCTTAAAAAAATCAATTTCAGAAGAAATATAACTCTTCTAGTTGGTGAAATAACTAGAGTGGCTTAGAATTCTAAGAGATGAGGAAAAACAATACGAGCATTGGTTTGCGTCTTTTCAAGCATGACAGTCAATGAGCCTCAAGCTTGACTTTGCTTAGAGCTATAGTCGCTCTAGAAGAGCCTTGGCTATTAGGTAAGATAGGTCAGTGTTGCAAGGTTATAATGGCCACATCTCTGCCTGGAAACATTCATCTCACTGTCTCATGTTACCAAGGGGATCAGAAGGGACCTGGGAAACTCCTGAGTCCTACACAGAAAAGCAGTCTTTTATAATCATATTCTCTTTTGCTTTCCTTCCCCACCTCCAAATCTTGGAGAAAAGTTCTAAAAGACCTTGAAATGGAACACTTTCAGACACTGAATTTAAAGTCCCCAAGAGGACGACTTTAGTGAAGTAAGGCTGCAATAGAAGGGTAATGATGCATCCACAAATTAAGCCACAGCAGAGAGCTAGATAGGGAGATGTCACAATATTTTGCCCTTTCACACCCCACAGGAAATCTCTCTTTGCCACCGGATTTGGTACTAGACACACTGAGAGCTAAGACAGTCCAGGAGCCTATAGGTCAACCCAAACAGATAAATTCATGGGATGATATTAACTCTAGAACCCAACTGTTTCGAGGATCTGGTCATGGCACAGAAGAAGCTTTAAAGAAGTGAATATTAAAAACAAAATAGCAACACCAACAAATAAAAGACTGTTAGGTGAATTCAACCGGATATAATGAAAAGGAGAATCCAACTTTACTTGGAATTTTACTGGCAGAATTCTCTGGTTATTCCACTAAAACTTAATTTTAGACCTACAATTAACATTAGGCACATGGGAATATGATATACTGAGAATGGCAAGACACCTAACTAGCAAAACAAGCAAAAAAAAAATTTTTTTTGTCTTATAAACAAATGAAGATTTGTCTTCTTTTTCTCTTTGTCTTTTTTTTTCTCTTTTTTTAGAATTTTACCCATCCATCTGGAGTTGGAGAAAGGTGTGATACCGCAGCAAATCTTTTAGCTAAAGGATGTCAACTAACTTTCATCGAAAACCCTGTCTCCCAAGTAGAAATACATACAAATAAGCCTCTCAGTGTAGGCAGACAGAAAAATAGTTCTGACATTATTCAGATTGCGCCTCAAAAGTTGACTCTTAAATTGAGACCAGGTATGTTATGATTTACATGAACATTGGCTCATGTAAATAAATCTAATGCCACGTATGGTAATACCATAATTAAGCTAATATATTTTGTACCATATTACATATCATTGATTATTATGGCTCAGATTTCCCATTCTTAAGGAAATAGAGAATCACTGGCCTAATACTTTTCTTCATTCACATGGGTCACTTGCACTCCAAATGAGTTACTAAAATAAGCTTATCTAATAGTAAGCATTTGAATTACTCAAATGTTGTTAAGGCTTACCTCACATTTCTTTAAGCATTGTAATGTAGCTTTAAACTCCTCTTTATTTTCTTCTCTTTTGCTAAAACCACATACAAAAAATTCAGCTTATCTTTCATCTAAATGGATGCTAGTTCTCCCAAGGAGATATAAAATATCCTAACTTTTACCTCCTTCAGTAGCTCTAAACTCACTGCTGAAAGATTTTCATGGGCTCATTCACTTGTAAAATGTACCGGATAGTTTATGAAATCCTAAGTATCTTCAGTAAGTTCTCACTGAAATGAAATAGCCAGGTGGCCCCGTAATTGGCCACTCATGAAGGAGTCTCCATGTATTTTTATGGATTTGCTTTTCTCATGGGGGGTTTTGCAGGCAGTGAACAGACTCTGCAAGTGCAAGTCCGCCAGACGGAGGACTACCCGGTGGACTTGTATTACCTCATGGACCTCTCGGCCTCCATGGATGATGACCTCAACACAATCAAAGAGCTGGGCTCCCTGCTTTCCAAGGAGATGTCTAAATTAACCAGCAACTTTAGACTGGGCTTTGGCTCTTTTGTGGAAAAACCTGTCTCCCCTTTTGTGAAAACAACCCCAGAAGAAATCACCAACCCTTGCAGGTAAGTAAATGATTCTCTGGCATCTTGGAACACTGATTTTCTGTAGAGATAGCCCTGCTCTGAGCTGCACTTGGCAGGAGCTTGCTAACTCCTTGGCATTTCGCTCCTACCAGGTTGGATCTCAGCAGCTCTCTCAGTTGCCTGGGCCCCTTGGAACCAAGAGGACCTTATCTCAATACCTGGTTCTAGTCTTAGGTTCTTGCAGCGTCCTCACATCTGTCTTCCTGCGTAGCATCTTTATCAGGACGTGGCAAATTTGGCTTTGTGCTCGGCAGACTAGGAAAGCGCGTCTTTCACTGTAGGTTCCGATGGCCTGTGTCCATCCACAGCCCCTCAGAGACCTTCTAGGCCCAATGACCACCACTTTCTGAGGCTATTGGAGAGTAACTCACACTTTCTCAGAGTATCTTTCTCCACTACAATGACTTCTGCTAAAATAACAATTTGTGCAGCTCCCTCTGACATACTTTGGGAAATGGGGATTTCTCTTATTGCTTGGAGAAGGACTTTGCAGCCTTCCCTTCTATCTAATTCAGTCAGAAATTAAGCATTATGGACCCCATTATAATCTGTTATTATCAGCTATGAAAACCATTTATTATCCAGGTGATGGTCAAGGGCAAGTTGCTCTGCGATGGCTTACCTGTACAGTCAATGACATGTTCAGAATCAAATTATTCACTATCCTTCTGTTAAAAAGAGCTACTATTTGCTCTGTGCCAGACTCTGTGCTGAAGATTTCACATACATGACCTCATTCAATCTTCGTAATAACAGCAGTTCAAGGCAGGTTTTATCATACCTATACTCAGAGGAAGTAACAGAGGCTCTGCAATATTAGTAATTTTCCCAAGGCCACATGACTAATCAGTGATCTGTACCAAATCTGGATTGGTCCCAAACCAAGCACCTTACTACTATGACTCTAGCATATATGCAAGGACTTTCCAAAAGTCCTTTTAATACTTATATACAAGCATCAATCTCTAAAAGATAAACACCTTTATAATATCATTTAAAAACATTTCAATGTGGTTCCCAACTAGGATCTGACACAGTCAAAATAATTTGACCATGAAAAGAATTCATCACTGATTGTAACTGTTTAGGAACTGTGTTTGGTTGCAAGCATCAGAGATAGTGGCTTTAAAAGGGAGAGTTTTTTTCTTTCTCACATGAAGGGAGTCTAGAGAAAGGCAATTCAGGGCCAGTATGGCAGCTCCACACATCAGGGATCTGGGCCTTTTCTGCTTTCTGCTCTGCTATATTGGCTCTTGGATTTTATCTTCAAGGCCCAAGGAGTTTTCTGGGATGATACTCATCACTTCTTCGTTCCAGGCAGGAAAGAAAGAGGAAAAGAGGGGCGGATCAATAAAGGGCACTATCTTTCTCCCCACCTTTTATTTCGAGGTATAATTGACATGTACCAAGATGCACACATCGGAAATGCTCAGTTTGATGAGTTTTGACAGTGAAATATACCAACATAATCACCACCTAAAATGTGATGTAGAACATTTCCAAAGTTTCTTTGTGCCATATTATAGTCAGTTCAACTACCCCAGAGGTAACCACTTTCTGATTTCCATAATTTAGATTGGTTTTTGCCTATTCTTGGATTTCATATAAATGAAATAACATAGTATATACCTTTTATTTCTGTCTTCTTTTGTTCAACATAATGTTTCTGAGATTCATCCACAATTTTGTGTTTATCGGCAGTTTGTTCCTTTTTGTTTTAAGTAGTAGTCCACCGTATGTATTTATTATTCTTCATTTATTCATTCTTTCATTGATGGACATTTGGGCTGTTTCCCATTTTTAAGCTATCATGAAAAATGTTGCTATGATCAATCACTTGCCTATAAATCTTTGTGTGTATGTATGTTTTTGTTTCTCTTGGATAGATACCTAGAATTGGAATTACTGAGTTGTATAATAAGTATCATTTTAATTTTTAAAGGAACAATCAAATTGTTTTCCAAAGTAGATGTGCCATTTTACATTTCCATCAGCTACATGTGAGGGTTCCAATCATTCCAAATCCTTGATAACACCTAGTATTGTCAGTCTTTCTAATTTTAGCCATTCTGATAACAGTGTATTTTATTGTAGCTTTAATTTGCATTTCCCTAGTAACAAAAGGTGTTGAGCGTTTTTCATGTGTTTTTCTCCCATTCTCGTATCTTATTTTGTGAAGTATCTTTTCAAATTTTTTGCCCATTCTTAAAAATTAGATTTTCTTCTTAATATTGTTATATGAGTTCCTTGTATATCCTGGATAAAAGTTCTTTGTCAAATATGTGCTTTATAAATATTTCTTTCCAGTTTGTGGGTTGTGTTTTTATTTTTCTAGTAATGCCTTTGGTCAAACAAAAGTTTCTAATTTTGTTGGGAGTCTGATTTGTCAATTTTTAATATTATGGTTAGTGTATTTTTTGTCCTAAAAAATCTTTGCCTAACCAAATATCCCAAATATTCTTCCTCTTTTTCTTCTAGAAACTTTATGGTTCAAGCTCTTGCATTTAGGTCTATGATCTCAAATTAATTTTTATATTTGGAATGAGGAAAAGGCTTAGATTCGTCTTTTGTTTCCATGCAAATATCCAATTGCTCCAGCACTATTTGTTAAGCAAGATTTTTCTTTCCCCATTGAATTATCTTTATGCTTTTGTTAACAAGCAATTGAGAGCATATGTATGAGTGTAATTCTGGACACTTCATTCTGTTTCACCTGATCTGTTGAATACGCCCATGTAACCACCAATGTCTTATCATCTTTCTTACTGCAACTTTATAAAAAGTCTTGAAATCAGGAGTGTAAATCCTCCAACTTTGTTCCTCTTTTGTTTTGCTATTCTAGATCCTTTGCATTTCCACAGAAATTTTAGAATCAGATTGTTGATTTCTTCAAAAAAATATGCTGAGATTTTGATTAGAATTACACCAAAATCATAGGTCAATTTAGGGATAATGGACATCTTAAAAATACTGAATGTTCCAGTCATTGCATATGACATATATTTCCACTCATTTAGATCTTGTCTTCTTTCTCTCAGTAATGGTTTGTCATTTTCAGGGTAGATACCCTACACGTCCTTTGTTTGATTTATTCCTAGGCTCTTTAAAAAGATGTTTTCTACTTGTTTGTTGAAAACATAGAGAAATGCAATTGATTTTGCATACTCACATTGTATCCTAAAAACTTGATAAATTTTCTCATTAGTTCTAGTTTGATTTTTTGTAAATTCCTTAGAATTTTGTGTACTTGATCATGTCATTTATGAATAACAACTTCTTCCTCTTCCAATATGTATACCTCTTTGTTCTTTTTCTTGCCTCGTTGCACTGGCTGGGGTCATTTTAAATAGAAGTGGAGAGAGATATCATTTATGTTGCTTGTGATTTGGGGAGGAAATCTTCAACATCTCACCATTGATTATGCTCTTAGCTAATGGGTTTTTGGATTCCTTTTATCAGATCAAGGAAGTTCCCTTCTATTCCCTGTTGGGTACAATTTTTTTTAAATCATAAATGGATGTTGAATTTTATTTCCTTGATTTAAGGAGTTTTGCCAGAAATTTTCCCCACCTCCTTATACTTGCATCTCATTGGCAGGACTTGGTTACATGGCCACTGCTAGATGCAAAGGAAGCATATTGCTACCCCAAGTAAAGCCAGGATTCTGTTAGTAGGGAAGAAAAAAAAGAATGGATCTTTCTAGCAGTTCCAGCAACACTGAACAAACAGATTTCTAGAGAACAGATTTATACTGTATAATAAATCTTTTAAAAAATAAGGTATGATTACTGTTATCAATTGATTCACTTGTAAAGTGAAATAAACTTTGTTCTAACAGCCTCCTAACTGTTTAATATAAAAGTGTTTCTAATGCTCTGGCCTTTTTTGTTTTTTTAAATCAGAGAATGTTGTACCCGTTTAAAATCTGTATTATTTAGATCTTTGGTATGTTAGGTGTCTTTCTCCTGCAATAAGCTTTGGTAGAGAGTCCAGCAGTGTAGTTTCATTTAGGATTACAAAGTGTTACCTCTGTCTCAGAGGGCTTGTTTAAAAATCATTCTTTCTGCCATAGGCCAGATAAAATGTAGTAATATGAAGTACAGTAATGACAATGGGAAACAATGAGGAAGGAATGTTGCCAGAGAAAACAATTAAAATTAACAAACAGATGGCTCAGCTAAGTGGGCAGCCTATCATCTAAGAATAAGACCCTGTATTTAATCAGGTTCCTAGAAAAAAGGAAGCAGTTTGGCTTTTCATAGCTCTGACTGCATTTCATTCATGCATTCTTTTATTCATTCATTCATTCAACAAAAGTTTACTGTGCTCCAACTGTGTACCAAGCATTGTGCTAGGCATGGGGATATCTGGAGGAAAAAGATTTGCACCCAGTCCTCAAAAAGCTGAAATTCTTTGGGGAGCAGGCATGCAGTATAGCATGGTGATTTAAGAGGATGGGCCTTGCAGTCAGCTCTGGATTTGGTTCTGATTCATTTACTCACTTATAACATCGCCTTAGGTGAACAGTTTCACCCTCAAAGTTTTAGTTTGGAATAACCATACCGATCACACAGAGTGGTCATAAGGATCCAGTGAGGTAATGAAGCATTTGGTACTGGGCTTGACCGTGAAGCACTCCGTAAATGGTACTTACTCCCAACACCAACAGAGTGAAGTTAGGGGGAGACCAGAGTATTGTACAAGGTGTGGTGAATGGCGTCCCAAAGGAGGATCACACATTTGATCTCTTGAAAGGTCAATATTTTCCCATTTCCTAAAGGTGTTTCTTTTATTCTTATTGGCAAAATTCACTACAAGTTAAAATTATAAACAACGAGTTCTTTCCTGCAACATTATATTTTTTCCTTGCCCATCACATCCTTAATACTTCCACTTTCTCTGTCCAGATACTACCTCCCAGACATATACACACCAAGAACTCAAATACCAAACATAAAAGTCAATCCTTTGATCAATCC